GTTGTTACGCTTCGCTGAATTCTGGATTTCTAGTTTGTCGGGTTATACCGGTATACGTACCAAACTTACTTCTCACAAGTTCGCTACGTCCAGACAACAATTTCTTTCTCGTTTCCATAGCTCATCAGTCTCAGTCAGATACAAAAAATCAGTTATGAATCCCATTACACACAGACTTGCTGCACTTTCCTCTTTCTTGCTATTTTTATGAGCTACCGAAAGCTCGTCCGTTCAATTTAGCCTTTATTTCATATAACAATATAACGATAGGTAGATAGACGATGAATAATTTCACAAGATGAGCGGAACTTCCGACCGAGAAATCATCACTTGGAGAGCCAATCATGTCGTGACCACGTGATATGGTTTCCGTTATCCTGAGATGAGTAACTCTCTCTTCTCTTTAAATGACAGCCAACCGCAGTGATGATTAGTCACTCGTGGTCAAACGATTGCATTTTTAGGCCCTGATCAGAAGGTCACGGGTTTGAAACTCTGTAGTTTCGTGAGATGAGCACTGCTGACAGTTCCTAACAGGAGGCCGTGCACGGCTGAACACGATCAATGGAATATCGATTATATTTTGAACGAGTGGAACGCGATCCATTTAGGCCAATAAGATTGAAAGGGCAGACGAACCCGTCAACCACTCATGCTGTAAATGCGAAGTTTCTGCAACCCGTTCACAGGAAAATCTACATACCGAGGAACTTTTGTTGCAACGGTGTCCCTTGTAAGCGCTAATGAGATGAAAGTTTCCTACACAGGGGTAATAGAGTACTTACAATACGGAAACCTGGGAATTAGGTGTTTCTACGGGTTACCGCTTTGAGGGAGAGAGCGGAACCACTTTGTTCGGACTGAAGATGCAAGGTGCCGTTACTGTTCCTCAGGCTTTCCAGCCATTTCAAAATCAGCTGATAAGAAGTTTGCTTTCGGAAACACTCACTCCATTCACATGATGACCCCGTGGGAGGTCGTGAGTAGGACTAATCGGGGAATCGCTCTGGATTTGTCTTCTTTATGGTACTGTTCTGTCGGTAAACAATGAAGACGCATCTAAAGAGTAGTGAGAGACCATGAAAAAAAACTAAAGGGTCTGTAATCTTTCCCGACTACCGCACATAACCAAACTGCCTTCGTCCTTTGTTAAAAATTCGTATTTTTTCAGCAAACGTCTTACCTCTTACAGCAGTGTAAGGTTGTTTCATCCGTGTTTGGAATCGTCAGCAATGCGCGCCTCAGAGAGAGAAACAGACGAATATACATACATACATACATACATACATACATACATACATACATACATACATACATACATACATACATACATACATACATACATACATACATACATACATACATACATACATACATACATACATACATACATACATACATACATACATACATACATACATACATACATACATACATACATACATACATACATACATACATACATACATACATACATACATACATACATACATACATACATACATACATACATACATACATACATACATACATACATACATACATACATACATACATACATACATACATACATACATACATACATACATACATACATACATACATACATACATACATACATACATACATACATACATACATACATACATACATACATACATACATACATACATACATACATACATACATACATACATACATACATACATACATACATACATACATACATACATACATACA